CAGTTATCTTAAGCTTCTATCAAACCATTGATTCCAAATTAAAAATAGCAACGTTACTTGCAAACAAATGAGCAGTTAGTTACAAATCTAAGAATAGCCGTTGTAATTGTTCATGTCATTTCTAATATCAAACTTATGTGTTAAACTTTTAATCCCTTCATTAAAAATGGGAACGCTACTTGCAAATTAAGGAAGATCAAGTTGCAAAATAAATCTTCTCTTTCACAATAGAAATGATTTTGTGTTCTTAAACAAAAACAGGAAAACTAGTTGCAAATTTGGGATATAGAGTTGCAAAACTCTAGAAGAGAATAAATAATGTCTGGCTTCTTCTAAAGTTTAGTAATTTTGCTTGTGTTCCTAACTAAAAATGAGAAAATCAGTTGCAAATTTTTCAATTCGACGTTGCGAATTTGGGATAGCTAGGTGCAAATTTTTTCATGTGAACAAATAATTACTTGCTTCTTTTAAACTTTAATAATTAAGTTTTGTGTTCTTAAATAAAAATGGGAAAACAAGTTGCAAATTCTTTAACACAAAATTGCAAATTTGAAATATAGAGTTAATTACAAACTCCTAGAAGTGAATAAGTAATGACATGCTTCTCTTAAAATTTAATAATTAAGCTTTGTGGTCCTAAATAAAAATAAGAGAAGTAGTTGCAAATTCATTAATTTGAAGTTCCGAATTTGGAATAAGGAATTACAAATTTTTGGAAGCGAAAAAAATGCATGTCACAAACAGACCAAATCGATATGAAAAGTTGCAAAATAGGGAGCTGTACTTGCAAATGTCATGATCTAAACTCTCATGCATCTCTATTGATCATATCAGTTTTATTGGTACATGAAACATTCGTACAAGGAATCAATATGATTAAATACAACAAACATAACGATCATTAAACTTCATTTGAACTTTTTTCCTCCCCTTTTTGATCAGTTAACAGCTACAGTAGAAGCAAGAACTTGTTCTCTAACTTTATTTCTCTCATGATTAACCAGCTACAATAGAAGTTTCTTTACTTCACAGAGATGAGCACCAGCTACAATAGAAATTTCTTTACTTCACAGAGATGCTCATCTGCATGATCTTCGTTCGTTCCATGCAGCAAATTCCCATTATTTGATCTATCTGAGGGTTTATACCAGTTTTGCCTCCTATCTTGCTTGCTCTTTTCACTCAAGGAGCCAATTCAATTACATCCTCATAAGCTCTCAATGCAAAAAGATAATCAACACAATTAGATCTTTCATGATAATAAAAATCACACGCAGCCAACTTTAAATGAATTATTTAAAGTTTAACTTGCACTCACTCGAAGGAACCCACAACTTACTTTTTGACTTAACTTGGACAAACTAAATATAGAGAACAAAATGAATAGATGGATACTTGACTTGGGCAAATCAAAGTCTTAGCACTTCAAGTTTCATCCATTCATTGCAAATTGAATCTAAATGTAAACATTTTTCACGAACAGGAAACTATAGTACATGAACTAAACAAACCATCATCTAAAAAATTAAAAGTTGCAAAGGAAGGAAAAATAGATGAACGTGATGGTGGTGGGCATCTAGAACTTCAAGAATGAGAGAAGCAAGGCACATAAATAGATTTTCAAGAATCAAATTAAAACAACATCCCATTTCATCTTTTAGTCCCACGGTGTCCTCTTTACCTCATAAGTAGGGATGGATTTTGGTGTTCTTCGAGCCTGACAACGTTAATGTCGACTTGAGCGCGGTTCCTAATCCAAGCTCTCCAGTCCTCTCAACATTCTCTAGTGTGTGACGATAAAGTTGCTGGAGTTCTCTGTCACTGCCATTCCCTTTGCCAGGGCACAACACAAGCATTGTACTGATGAGCTTACTGTGCTTGATCTCGAGATTTTGTATAGGGTACTTTTCTCATTTCTTTATTAGCAAATGATTACGTAAGCACCTCATTGATATTTGAAAGTGTCTTGAGATTTATTTAGAATAAAATTAATCCTTTGAGACCTATATGTCATTCCCCCATACCTTTTTGCCAAAATACTGCTAATATTGTCTACACAATAGCTTTATTTTTCATTTCTTTTTATATCAATTTGCCCCCGTTGAGTGCAGTGACGAATTTAGACTTACCAACATAGGGGGCAAATTTTAAAACCATCAAAAATATGGGTACAAAAAACTAATTTTCACATTTTTTACAAAAAAATTTAAAAAAATAAAAAAACAAAGCAGCATTGCAATTGTCCGCAAGCACCCCCCCCTTGCCCCATGTGCATTCATCACTGGTCGAGTGCCTTTAACTTTAATACCGTATGAAATCTTGTTTTTGATGATATTAAGCCATATATATTTAACAAGGGAGAGGACCAAAGAATTGTATTTAAAAAATAAAATAATGAGAAAATTATTTTGAAATAAAATTCATTGATAAATTCTTTTTTTTAAAAACATCTTATAGAACATCAAATCACTCTAAAAAAATATTTTATGAAATGGGTTATTGAAAGATAAATATTCACCATTGAGAATTAATTACATGTATTTATATAATTTATTAAATACGATATAATTTGTTAAATATATTTTTACCAATGAGAGCAGATAGTTAAGAGGACTGTCTCAAAATTTCACAATTTCTTTATTAGCCAAAACATCATGATATTCATATAACAATTTCATTGGGTTTGGAGATTTGGATCATTGTATTACTCACAGACAAAGGTCTCTTATTGTTAAAAGAAAAAAAAATCTTTGAAGAATTTTATGTTTAGTTTTGTCACATGCAACAGCTATCAGCGAGAGCTTTCATATGCCACAACATAATTCCACGAAGGCTCTTAAAAGAACAGAGATATTGCAGATTTTACCAACCCAACAAAAAATTCACTCTCTTCTCCCAATATATAAGTAACGTGTCTTTAAGTAATTTTTATATACCAATAAAAATGAATTATTTTGCTGAAAGTATGTGAAAGGATAATAATTTAGTAATTTTATTTTTAATAATGTGACAATTAATGTTATGATACTTGGTAAAGTACAATTAATATCTCTTCCTATTTTAAAATAATAAGAATAAAATCATTGAAATATTTTAACATCTCTTATAGAGCTGTGCAAAAGTATTGTCTAATCCAGTCTAACCTGAGATGATCCTAGTCTTATTTTGTCCATACAGACATTGATCTTTCAAGACCAAAAAGGCTGAAAAGATCATACCAATTTTTTAGGTTGGACGGGACAAGAGACTAAACATCTGGATCACTAGGTCCCCTCTAATCCTATTAATTTATTTATTATAATTATAATTAAATTATTTTAATAAATACTTCAAATCTAATTGATATTAAGAAAATGATTGTATGAAGATTTGTCGAATTTATTTTTAAATTGAGTTTATTAGATTGAAATAAATTATTTTTTTTCATAAAGAAAAAAAAAAGAACGTTAATACTAAACTAATAGAATCAGTTTTCTAATCTTATAAATTAAACTTAACCCTATTAATTTTTAAGTTATCATTTAATAAAATTAAATTACGGTTACTTAATTCAATTCTTTTTATAAATTGGACTTTGAGTTAGGACGAATTCTTGTGATACCTTTGCGCACACACACGTGAAACGAGGGGGGGAGGGAGAAATCTCAATTCTTTTCTTCTTTTTGAAAGCTCAATATCCAACAATCCAACTGCCTGAGCTTGAAACTAGTATGGTTTGACCAAGAAAAACTGATCTAGTTCTTGGCTTTACAGCATCCTAATGATCATGTGATGTAGCTCCTGTTCTTTCAACTGAATTCGTTTATTTGATTTTCACCTTTGCAACTTCGTCTTTGTCAGCACAGCGCGAAGAGATTGGACAGTCCGTGACTCCAAACGTTTGATCAGTAATGATGTCTGCGAACGATCCTTTGATTCTTTCTTTAATTCTGTTAAAGTTGTTAAAGAATTGCTTTCGCCGCTCGGAGTGGGCATTCGACAGGCGGCGAAGTTTGAGCATTGCTGGGCGGGACCTGAGAATAAGGTAAGTGGTGCCCAAGTGACCGAAGGTTGCAAGCTTCAGATCTTTGGCGTGAGGCAGAAGGTTAAAGATGAGAAGAAGAAAGGGTTGCAGAATTCAAGAAATGGGTCCAAAGAGAGGGCGTTGACTAAGGAGGATGGGCCTCACACCAACTCTTTGCAGTTTGCTGTACAGTCGCTGCCAACTCCCTCCGAATCAGGACAAAATCGACTCCAGAAAATGGATACTGAAAATTTTCCATGCTCTTGCTGGAAGTCCAATGTTTCATGGGAATCGAAGCAAGCAGAATTTAATGGGCAGTCTGTTGAGATATTTCGGGATAAGGATGTGAAAAAGAAGGGAAATCATGTTTCATTTGAATGCTTAATAGGTTTTATTTCTGATGGCCTGGCTCCGAATCTTGAGAATTTGGGTGAAAGATTGCGAGGAAATGACCGTCAGAGGAGTACTCTGCTGCATCCTTCATCTGATTTTAATCACTTGAAAGTATTCATCACTAGTATTTTGGAAAGGCAGCAACTATATGCAAATAGGTTCCTACGAAATTTGAAATTTGCAAAAGTGGGTGGAGTGCCATGAAACATAGTCAAAGCAAGCCATTCAGCTAAACAAGAGGGAGATGGTAGCGCTACTGCTGAAAACAGGGAAGAAACGGGGAGAAGTTCTCCGCAGAAGGTTGCTACTGGCATTCTCGGCATTCTTTTGTCAAATTTAGAGCGAATTAAGTCTTCTGTTTCCTCAATTTCATTGACAGAATTGATTGAGCTTCTCGAAGAACATCCTGATGCGAAGAAGCTATCCTCGGGACAAGACTTCTTTAAATATACAAAGGGAGAAGGTATGCACTGTCAACTAGAAGCAGAACAACTTGAATGCTCTTATTTATGCTAATCCCTGTTTTCATCATCAAGTTCTTACAGGGAGGAGCCTCTTTGAGGAGCTGGATAGAGATGGTGATGGTCATGTAACTCTGGAAGACATGAAAGTCGCAATGAGAATGAGAAAATTGCCACCAAGATATGCTCATGAATTTATGTCCCGGACCAAAAGTCACTTGTTTTCCAAGTCTTTTGGTTGGAAGCATTTTTCATCTGTGATGGAGCAGAAGGAGCCACCAATTCTTCGTGCATGTAATTCTGTGTGTCTAGGCAAGTCTACCACACTTACGAAGAGTGAAATATTGGAATCACTAAAGAATGCTGGCCTGCCAGCAAATGAAGACAATGCGGTGGCTGTGATGAGATTTTTGAATGTAGACACAAAAGGATCTATTTCTCATGGACACTTCCGCAGTTTTATGCTTCTTCTTCCCCCATATCGTCCTCAAGAGGATCCAGGGTAAAATTTATACATCGATCATCAGCTTTTTTATTGTGTTTTCAAATGTGCTGATAAGATGTTTGGTGATGATCTTAGTATCCTTACTCCACTAACTGCTCGATTCATCTTGAATGATCCTAGGTGTGTTGATTGCATTCTATAATCTTGGAAGGATATGCTCCTCCTTACTCAAAGTCAAAAGTCCATGAATTATGAAACTATGCTATAAGATGATAAAGAATGCAAAATGTTGAATTTAGTGCTTAAGATTCAATGCTTATGTTAAAAGCTATTGTTGCTATGGTTCTTCAGGAGTACTGCAGTTCCTGTTTCACGACGGTTGAAAAACCTGTTGAAAGTGTTAATATCGGCGTTGGCAGGGGGCCTTTCTTGTGTCATGTCTTGTGCATTAATGCATCCAATTGACACCATCAAGGTATATTCTTGCTAATAACATCATCTTCATCTCATTTATCTGCTATTCTTGGATCCTTCACACGACTAACGCTTGCAATTATCTTTTTTGGGATGTTAGACTCAAGTACTAGCATCATCGTCTTTAACCTTTCTAGAAGTCATTTCTAAGCTTCCCCAAGCTGGAGCACAGGTTTTATATAGGGGTTCAATCCCAGCAATTCTTGGACAGTTTTCAAGGTTATATTTATTTCAATACTCTCCACATCTTCCCTACTTCTGAAGCAATATAAGCAGAAAATGAAGGGGAAAGATTCATCAATCCTTTCACTCAGCAATGATAGTGTTATCATTCTTTTAAGCTCAAGATAGCTTTTGATAATTGCAGCCATGGCTTGCGAACTGGAATATCTGAAGCAAGTAAGCTAGTGCTAATAAATATTGCTCCGACATTACCAAACTTCCAGGTCCATTGTAAAATTCCTCTAATTTCCCTCTAATTTCCTTTTATTTATGTGCTGGTTAATTCCTGCTCAAGTTACTTTATATCTTTCATCCACCTTTCATATTGTTTAGGCTTTGGAGAACTCAAGTAAATTTTCTTAGTGTGTATGGTGGCATTTGAAGGGATGAAAAACTTGTTTGGATGCCAAAAACCAGGATTTTTGTTTATAGATAATCTCATTTGGTCTGACATTGTTTCCCCATCTTAAACCACGTTTGTCCCTCCAACACCTCTCTGTTTGCACCAGAGTAAGAAAATCTGCTTCTGCGTTAAATGAATTGCATTGATGGTGTAAACCACTTTTCAAATAAAAGTTTCCAAACATGAATCATGGTTGTGGAATCTCATTTTTGAAGAAGATCCAGTTTAGTAAACTCCAATCCAAACACATTCTTAGCATCCAGATGGTTGTTAAGATGTCCTTGTCCTGAACAATAAATGAATTGTTTTCATTAATCTGAACTACTTAGCTCCATGTCCTCTAAAATATCAGTTAACATTTTTCAAGCTATTTATTGAATCCATGATACTAAGAGTATAACATTTTACGCAGATACAATCCGTATCATCATTCTGCAGCCCATTTTTGGGAACAGCAGCGCGGATCCCTTGTGAGGTGTTGAAGCAGCAATTGCAGGCCGGTCTATTCGACAATGTGGGGGAGGCTACGGTTGGGATGTGGCGCCACGATGGACTCGGGGGTTTCTTTTGTGGAACTGTGACCACCCTTTGTCGTGAGATTCCATTTTATGTTGCTGGCACCGGCCTATATGATGAGTCCAAAAAGGTACATAAGTTCTATGCATTGTGCAGTTTTTTTTCTTATACATATATATATATATATATATATTGATGAAATATGCTTCTATTTATCCACATATACACGTGTATTCATACACTGTAACAAGCAGCACAAATTTTCGTGGAGATAAAATGTGTCCCATTGGAGAAATTCCCTTATAAGGTGTTAGCATTGCATGACCACTGGGGCATGACGGAAGCATGCGTGTGTTTATGTGGGCATTGAACTATGGTATATAACCTGGCTGCATATATATATATATATATATATTCTATCATTAGGGTCAACTCTGGATTTTAATTGAAATCATCCGCTCAATGTTGTGACTGGTTGATGGCATTCTTATTTCTCGTCATCTGTGAGATTGAGTGGAGTGTCATGGTGGTGTTGAAGGCTGTGCAGCAATTTTTAGGATGGGAACTGAAACCTTGGGAGACACTGGCTGTGGGGGCTTTATGCGGCGGCTTTACGGCTGTGATGATGACACCGTTGGATGTGATCAAAATGAGAATGATGACCGCGAGGGGTCAGTCTCTGTCGGACGCCTCAGTTACCCTCTCCATACTCCGCCATGAGGCTTATATAAAGGAGCAGTGCCCAGGTTCTTCTGGGTCGCTCCCCTGGGCGCCTTCAATTTTGCTGGCTGCGAGCTGGCTAGAAAGGCCATGTCCAGGATTATGAACGAGCATCCTCCCAAGGTGGCCACTTCTGAATAATAGAGGGATTTTTTCGGCCCGAGTCTATATCAACATGGATCACAATTTTTGATTCACCTGCATGGCTGCATCTCTCTCTAATATTTTCTCTTTTGTACATTTGCGGTTTGCTAACCACGTTTGGGATCCATTTCAATTTGGCCTTGTAAATTTTCTACGGAAAGGAAGAGCTCGTTATTTCTTTCACTTTCTTCACTGCTGTACAGATATTAATCCTTTCATTTCTTTCAAATCAATATTCTGGAGTGCCTATAGCAGTTCACTTTTTTTGATACATCCATAGAAGTTCTGTTTCAAGTCCACTCTAATTGCAATTTCGCGTTGACTTGAATGTTATTGGATTAGCTATTTTATGCAATGAGGACTGACAATGACTTTTCGACTCATAAAACTAAAAAGATAATAATATGAAAATTGATAAATTACAGCGGATGCCAGTGGCATGTCTGATATCGCTTTGATCTCATCGTGATTCATGACCGCCACGTTTACCCTATCACAAATCCAACAGCGGACTCTATATATCCTCCATGAAATCCATAGTCTTTGACTCGGGGCGCTCTGGGGATCTGCTGCCCCGGCATGGACGCCTCCGACGAATCGAAGTGCAAGACGCCGACTGTGGTGAAGCTGAGGCCGATCGATGCGACTCCCTCATCGTTCAAAGACTACGGTCAGGTCATCGAGGCTTCACCGGATGGCGACGAGTTCGGTCCTCATGACGCTCAGTTAGACCTGAGCCGCGGAACTCCCAGGTCCCTAACAACCTTCCTTTCATATGAGTGTGTTGTTCATCTGTTATGCGCGAAGCAACTTTTAGATTCTGCTCTCCCTCCCTCCCTGATTTTTTTTTTTCCGATTCATTTTCTTCTATGAGTTCAATTGATTTCTTGTTGAACGGTATTACATCTGAGTAGATTCTTGTACATGGTTTGCAGTTCTGAGGATTTCGATTTCGACTCACTTGATAATTGTGGATGGATCCTTTTTTAAGCTGGTAGTGGGGAAGAAACTTGGAGTCCGTTGTCTAAGAAATCGCAACATTTTTTTTTTCTTTGAATGAAAACTGAATAACTATCATTAAACAAAGGCAAGGAAAGAAAACCAGATTATCCTTTTCTCCACTTCAATTTGAAAAGGCGGAGGATGATCAAAGATTCCGAAAGAATTATCTAATCTATGAACTCCCTTGGCTTCTAGCGAAAATACAAATGAGAAAAGAAAGCCAGATTTTCCTTTTCTCCACCTCAATTTGAAAAGGTGGAGGACGATCAAAGATTTCAAAAGAATTATCTAAGCTATGACCTCCCTTGGCTAAACGGTCAGCAATACGATTTAACTCTCTAATATTGTCAGCCTAGGTCAGTATGCAAGTCAAGTAGCTGTTTATTTTGTTTTCATGGTTGAAAACGCGGAGGATGATCAAAGATTCCAAAAGAATTATCTAAGCTATGACCGATGGCTAAATTTGCTGGTCCTATTTGTCTTGATCAACAAGTGAATGCTTAACTGCTATTTGATTTAGTACTATTATCACTAAGATGGCTTGATCGCATTGCTGCTTAATCTGGGCTAACAAACTGCAGAGATAAAGTTGGTGTTAACAATCTGGTCTAACAAATTTAAGACTAGTAATTTAGTTAGTTGGAAGACAAAACCTTAATGACAAATCTGTCTCTAAAAATAATCTACTCGACAAATTAAGCAGGAATAGTCAAATTTCTAAACTTCAATCGACTTTTTGCACAAATCCATTCATTCACTTCTTGGAGCATCTTTTGGAGGCCGATTGAAGGAATATTTGGTGCTGCTTTTCTTCTAACATGGCATGCATTTGAATTTGATTATGATCCAATCCTGTATGTTGACAGGTTCTACATTATGCATCTTGAAGATCGTCCTCTAGGGTTTTCTATGATTACACACCATGCAAGTGTGACCCAGTGCCTTGGGTCAATTGGCGGTCATGTTTGGTATCTTGGCGTAGCTAAGCCATCCATTGTTCATTCAAATGAAGTCAAGGACGACAATAGCCAGAGGGCTGTACCATCACACTGTGGTCATCTGTATGTGCCTCCTGCTGTTGAGGATGTCCAGGTTTTCAAGGTTTCTGGTTCCAAATTTCTGAAGCTTAACCAAGGGACATGGCATGCTGGTCCTCTATTTAAGGCAGAAACAATGGACTTTTACAATCTTGAACTAAGCAACACAAATGTGAGCCTTTTCACCTTTCCTTTATCTGAAGGTTCTCATGCGTCATAGTTCTTGTGGAAGGTTCTTCAAAGGACCCTTGATGTCATGGGAGACTTGATTCTAAGGCTTAAGTTCAATTTCAATTGAATTGAGAATACAATTGATGCAGAAAGATAACCAGTTGCAAAACTTGGTTTTCGTCTATCTATATACATGTCATTAGCCCTTTAGTAATTAGATGCTGATTAGACTTAGAGTTAACAGTTTGCTAGAGGTTATAGGTTCAAACTCAGTGATGTCATTTACCAAGATAAACAGAGACTACGGTTAGATTTTATCACATAAATTTAGAGCTTCCACTTCTTCCATTCTGTGAGTTCACTCTTTCTGCCACAATCACAGCCTTTTTGTTTTTGTTTTTTTTTTGGGGCCTCCTTTAATCAATATTCTTTACAGTTGCACAAAAGTGAGGTGTCAAAATAGATGTATCTTTATTTTTCCTCTCTATTTAGTGAGGAGGAAGACCTTATTTTGGCTCCAAACATAGAGGTAGACTTTCCATTTGGTCTCTTGCACATCATTCTATTTCAATCTAATCATTCAATCATCTCAGTGCCTGTAATGTTTCCACTCCATCCATCTATTTCCAATATTTAATTTCTGGTGTAGTAGTTTGATAATTTGGATGCTCAACTGAACTTGCGAGTTAATAGAGCCAAATAATAAATAATGTTTAAGTCAGCATACTATTATGTTATGTTAGGCGTTAAAATTTTGGATGGAAATGGAACAGAACTGCAACATGTATTAAAATATGATTTTTCTTTGCGAGAGTTGCTCCCACATTGATTGTTTCGCAAGTCATTTGTAAGGCCTAACTCTGGGTTCTGTTCATATAGGTGATTGATCATACAACACACAACTTCATCAAGAACGATGGTGTGGTCTTTTCAATCGATGAGTAATTCTATTGCTTTTTCTAGTTGCTTGCAGCATTTTAACTAGCACTGCAAACTGCATGTTGTTCAATAATACTACATGATTGTCTTAAAGAAAAAGAATGATACTATGTTCAATTTAATATTTATTATTTAATTCCTAATATTAATATTAATGTGTTAGCTAAATACATACTGTGATGTATTGTATAGAGTTTAGAGTTTTGCAGAACAAGTTGTGCATTATAATATGTAATAGGGTGGCATGTAATAAATATGTGTGTGTGTGTGTGTGTGGTCAAAAGATACTTAACCTTGGCTTGCATGCTTAAATAACCTTGTATATAAGTATGTAAATTTGATCTATGATCCAATTTGATCTCAAGTTCGTTCATAAACTGAACAGTCAAGCAAACTCCCTCATTTGAACATCTGACGCTGTTGCTCAATGATATTGCTTTGTTTGAAAGGCCTAATTTCTTCTTTAGAGTTCTTGCTAGCAAAATTGTCTTGAGTTCGGACAGATTTACATAGAATAGAAGCATGTACATATATGTATGTGATTTGTTTGTTTATTTTGCTCGTTTAATCTTTTCTCTCAGAACCCAACGAAACATTTATAATTAAAAATAAAAAATTAGAAGATGGGGACTCCATCAAATATGCTAGAAAATTTAAGTTTTGCTGACAGAGTAACTAGATTGGATGGGTTTTGGAATGCATAAAATGAAAAAGAAGAATGAAGATGTGTAAAAAGTTAATGAAGCTGGTGATTCCAAAATGGGTTAGAGTGGAAATAAAACGTAACAAAACAAGCATCAGAATCTTCAATAACCCCACATAACATACATATTATATCGAACTGATTTACTATAGGAGAAGTAATTCAATGCGAGATCTCAAAACCGAACATCATTAGGCAGCCTCATCGTCTGCATAATTTCAATCAAGAAATCAGTTAAGATCGTCAGAGTTCAAACGTGTATGATAATCCAAAATGAACATACAGTATATCTATTCCAAAATGAAATTGAAGAAATCAATTAAGAGTGTCAGAGAGGGGACCTTGAATATATCTTCGAACATGCCCATGGCATTCCTTCGCTGTACTCCATAGAACTTCTCCGCAATGGCATCTATCATCTACGTACACCACACCTTCTTGTCAAATCAACCACACTCATCTATTCAACTTAAGTAATAACCCCGCATACACATGATCAATATGTAAAATTACATTTCTAGCAAACCATATGGCTATGTTGAAGAAGGGAACGAAAAAGCTTCAAGCAATGGAATGAATTTCATTCCATCACATAATATAGCAACATTATATGTATCTGTACTAACCTCATTGAATCCAGGTTCCCTGTTAATACATAACTTATATTTTGATCTCAGCATGGTAAAAAGAGGAAAGACATTTCTCTCCAACCTGCACCATTGCCAAAAAAAAAAAAAAAATAAACAGACTCAGAATTTTCATCAAGTCCCAGGATTTTGCAGACAAACAAAAACTGATTCTGAAGTGAAATCTCCTTAATACACTTTGTTCATCAATCACGAATATGAACGTGAAATTCTCTGCAAAGATCTAATGCTTGGCGTCATAGATAAATTTTGTGTTACTTGTGTAGAGAAAGGTAAAGAGTTTTAATATTTTGCGTAGAACTTCATCCGTTCATAAGAAATGACGAAAGTGATTACAGAGAAAGAGATGAAAAATGACGTACGTTGGCAAAAGGAAACTGACAAACTGCATCATGTCTGTCTGAGGGAACTCAAGGTCTGCAGCCTCCGCTTCTCTCTTTATATCTTCCAAAAGTATTTTGGCATCTTTCAGATTACCTGAAGATAAGTACCTGTCGAGTGCATGCATGAAACGGGTAATTTCTAACAATGAAACCTTGCTAATTTATACATTGATAAAAAAATAGCTTGATCCTCTACATTCATAAAAAGCAACCCAAGAAATTGGGCACACAGGGGACTGCTCAGATTGCAGAAGTCAAAGAGGTAAGAAGTCTACAGCACATTTAAAAGAAAGAAAACGTCGTTTACCCCAAAATGGCTCGAGCGATGGCCAAATCATCTTCGCCAGGATAACACTAGAAACAGTAGAGGAGAATTATCAGTACAACCTCGTGGAAGAAGAACACTGATTAATTCCGTATAAGCAGAGAAGAAGATAAGTGTGAAAAAGCAAGGATTCAGACCTTGCCCATAAAATTGACGAGAGTAGAAGCCAGCTTGCTGGGATCATTTCCCCTGACAAAATGATAAGTCACCTTAGCCATATCCTGTAATGATGATGATGATGATGATGATGAGATGAGAGTAGTGAGAATGCATGGAAGAACGAAGGTGGTGAACTGAGATGAATCATATTACAGGCTCGGGAGACTCAGAATAAGCGTATTCAGCGAGCAGAAGGTGAAGCATGGGAGAGCCGTGACCGTCGGGACCATAGACGGCCGACCACCGTATGGCGGCTTTCAAGAAGGAGGAGCAGCCGTCGACTCTGATCCTGGCCACTCCGAGCGCTTCTGTTAGCTGCTGCATGTCTTCCTCTTCCTCCAGGTTACTTGGCAGCGTTCCTCTTGGAAACTTGCTGTATATTCTCTTCACCCTCCCTTTTCATTTGTTTCATCATTATCATTTCATATTCACGCACCCAAAATCCCACCATATTTAATTCACATGTATACCTACCAAGACTCTGATCATCACAGAGAACTTTCCCTTGCTCCAGCGTCTCCGCGAATATTAAACCCAGCTCCGCTCCGCAGATTTCCTGATCCACCATCCATCAACTCCATGTTAATTTCATCACCATGCATTTTAATTAATTCCTTCCCTCCTAATTAATCATAGAAGCACCCTGACCTGTCCCTCTTCCAACTGAAGGCACGCTCCTGATTCTAATATATCTAAAGCTTCCGACAACCTTTCCGCATTTGCATATCTGCGTGCACGCGTACCATTCTTCAATCTCTGTTTCTCAGTAAATTATTATATTTTTGTTTAACTTTACTTGAATCTTGTAAATCTCTTTGCATATATATTTAAATTATATGAGTTTTCTTAAATTTTCCCCCTGTTCTCAAAACATGCACGAGCTTATCTTCAGAACGGGAAATAAATAAATGAGCTTATTTCCGATTTTGCATTCTCATATTGATTACAAGAATCAAACACGGTGATCGATTGATAACCATGAAAATAAACGGAAGATTTGAGAACCTCGTACTGATAGATTTGTACATTTGTTGAGCTCGATAATAATTTCCCTCTTTTACCAGTCTCTCCAGCTTAGCCATATGCTGCATTTAATTAATTTCACATCAAGTTAAAACGAACAGTAAATACCAAATAAATCCACAAACACAGGCGCTGTTACGGGGGGATGCATGCATATAAGAAACAAGTGGAGATAAAGGAAGATTTATTGTGAGGAACGATGCATGCCCATTCAATAGCAAAGATTATTATTGTTAATTATACGTAGAAGAAAGGCATATCACCCTAATCAACTGCTAGAAATTTATAGAGTAATAAGTGTGTGTGCGCGTGTGTGTAATTAACATGGAAGGTACCTCTTGAGCAGGAGGTAATATTCTTTTGTTTCTTTCTCGAGACATTGCAATAGCAGAAATCAACGTGAGTGCTTGATTAGGCTTCGTCGGGGAAGGAAACCAACTGAAACTAATGCAAAAGCAAAACCAATACGTGCCTTAGCTTTCACATCACAAATCTAAACGCTTAAACCGCCTTATTTACTGGACATTGCACAAATTATTGCCTGTTCAGCTTATTACGGGCCACCCACGTCCCCCGATATGTACCTTGTTATTTCACAAAAATCAAAAAAATAAAATAAAAATGAAAGGCCCTCTTATTAAGTTTTGTTATTTCACAAGTTCTTGAATTTTCAAAATCATATTGTAGTTATATTATAAATGATCTTTTTTGAAATTTACATAGGTTTCTCTTGCTATCAAGTTCTTGCAGTCCAATGGTAGTGGGCCTAGACCAGCCCAATAGTAAAGCGTCATGCTCCATGATGTTGGCTAGTCATATTTCTACACATTTGTATTATAAGTTCCAGGCTCCAGCTCAGAGCATTGCCTCGTGTTCCTTATTCTCCTGAAACCCGTTCTCAAAACCCCTTACTCTTTGCTACTTGCAAGTTTGACGGTTGACATTGCTAAATTTTTTAAATAAATAATCAACATCCTAGAACTATGGCGAAGATAATCTGAGCTCATTTGCATTGAATGCAAAGGGTAAGCCACAACATCGTCACGGAGGAGATGACGCGTGTCAAACTAAGATACACGTGTCAGTCCGTCGTGCTTTAAACCCTTCCTATAAGAACAGCACGGACGAACCCAAGCATGTTTATCAGGGCTCAACGGATTCGGATAAAAAGAGGCAAATCCAAAAGAGATTTGTGATGGGTTCGGAGACGTTCTTAGAAGTCATCTTAGCAATATTGCTTCCTCCTGTTGGAGTCTTCCTCAGATATGGCTGTGGAGTATGTACTCTCTCTCTCTCTCTCTCTCTCTCTCTCTCTCTCTATACTTTTTAGTCACCAATCTCTGCATGGATTGCTTTGAACGATGTGATGCGTAACATCAGCTGCAGAAACTATGGAATGAGCCGTGCCTTATCAACAGTTATTTATATACATTTTATAAGATATAACAAGGAGCCTTGTGCCTATATCACTCTTTATCATGACCTCGCTGCTTTGAGTTTTATTTTTGAATAAAACGTTTTAGTTTAGGTTTAACACTGTGTAGGCTCATCTTATTGGAAGTAGAGTTTATTACTGAGTTCAATAATTTAATTAGAATTTCGAGTCAAAACTTTTGGACCCTGGAAGTTTGGGAGTTCATATCGTAGCATGAGCATCCTAGCAGAAGTGGTGTTTTTTAAGTCCCTTGTAAACATGCTCCGAATAATTTAGCGATGTTATTTCTAAGACTTTTTTAACCTTTTTGCGCTTAGTTTTTCTCCTCCCTGTCTTGTATCAATGAATCCTTGTATATCTGGAAAAATATTACCCTTATTTCTATAGTCAAGAGACATTTTGAATTTTGTCTTTTGATTCTTTCCTGCTCTGTACAATGTATTATTATATTAATTAGGAACACATGATGCAGGTGGAGTTCTGGATATGTCTGTTGCTGACAATTTTAGGATATATTCCAGGCATTATATATGCCATTTATGTCCTGGTCGGATGACGCTTTATATATATGTGTTTTTTTTTTCAATCAATATTTTCACCGTTTTATGCATGTGGGTTTTACTTCACTGTATCTTCTTCCCCCGGTTTTTGCCGTTCTTATTAGAATTGTCATAATTATTCTGTAGATGCCACAAGGCTTTGTGATTTGCAGTGTAGTACTCTTTCTAAGTTGTTCTGTTCAATTTCAGTGGAATGTCAGCATGAAACATGGTCTGATTCCAATTCAATTATTGCAGTTCTTTTGAATAGAAATGAATATCATGATGCTCTTTTCTTTTACTATGATGGTTATCTTATAAAAATTTTGAACATTCTAAATGAGTAATAAGTAATAATGTGATCATCTAGTGACATCAATACTTTACCGGAAAACGGAAACAATTTGCAGTCAGTTCCAAAAACAGTCAAATGTAATAAACACTTTGAGAGTTCAGAAAGGGCAGAGTATGAGGTCGGTTCCATGAAGAAGCCTATTAGGATAAGCCCGGCCCGCTAAAGATTTTGTGGACCTTGATTTGTAAGCTCAATGAGTACATCACCACTGTCCCCAATAGCTGTCGTCACTGCCAGACGATGGCGCGGAAGAGCTTTGTGCAAGATTGGCCTCTTGCCCTTAACACACAACTCTGCTTGTGTCTCTGTGGCAGTTTTAGTCCTCACTTTGTCATTTCTGATGCCATCTTTGGTTTTGTCATCACAATGCTGAGAGCAACCCTTTGAACTCCTCCTAATATCTCTGTCTTTCACTGCTTTTGATCTATTTTCACTTCTTGCTTCGCCCTGTAAATTACGGCCCGCGACAAAGTAAGAATGCCGCATAATTAAATCACAAGAGATCAATAGAATCTGAGTGCGACTGACCTCATCAAAATATCCAATCTTGGATGTTGGCAATCGAATTCCAGAAGGTTTTAAATTTGTTGAAGGAAGAAATGGAACAGAATTGCTTCCTTGTGCAGGGTGAGTTCCTTTGGGATGATGGAATCTGTGATCTCTGCAAGCTGATGACTTTGGAACTAAGTCTGATATACAAGTATACTTCTTTTTCATGCATAATGGATTATTAGAATCACTTCCACACCCTGAAGATTTTAGAGGCGATCTGGGTTTACTTGATGCTATCCATCTTTCCCCTGAAATATACACTCAACTCTTGAGTTTTTCTTTGTGTAAAACCTCTTTTGCTATTCAGTTCACGCTTACCATTTGTGACGTGAACATGTCTGCTATCTTGTTTGACTTCTTTTGCAATCAGAGAGATCCTTTTGGTGGGAGCCATTTCAGTACTTTTAACCCTTCCAGATGACTTTGGTGGCTTAAATGATGACGACGAGGGAATAAATTCACTTCCATCAGAACACTTTCATCAAGTAGACATGTATAAATTAGTTTGTCTTGAAAAACGAACAAAAACGTTACAAGCCGTTCTTTGAACTGCAAAATATGGTTTCAATCTTGAAAAGATGGCATATTCGAATATTTATTCTCAACAGTACATTAAGCAACTAGACATCAATTGACATCACAGTTGTGCGTGTTGTGAAAGCAAATGACAGTGTAAAAACTTATACAAAATAATACTCACACTGGATGACGGTTTTTTTTGTTTTCGTTTTTTTTTTTTGGGGTCAAATATGATCTCACGACACGCGTCAATTCATGATATTGCTCAGTGATATAGAGAGAAAGCACAAGAGGTAATGTCGAAAATCGCAGTCAACTCAGGAATTGTAGTTAACTATAAAGGAACATGCCTGTTTTGATGATGGGGTTGTGGAAGCCTCTTTAGAAATTTTCTGTGACTGATTGGCAGTTTGCTTTCTGGGATTTGGCAACGATTTCATCTGAATTTTGGAGAAAATGAAGCATCATTCAGGGAAAACACTCAAGGCCACACAAAGAGCTAGCCAACCGTGACAAGAACATACCTTTGGTTGAGCCGGCCCATCCATTTGTTTCAGCGCTGAGAATTTGACATATTCAAAGACAAACCAATGTGCAGAAGCATTAGACATCTAGCATTATACTAGTACAGATTAGAGTGTAAGCGTAAGAAGGTGGAAAATGCTAGAGATGATGAATGAAAGAGAGTTGAATCGTACGATGAATCTCGTGCATGTGGGTGTACTTCGGTGCAGCATGAGTATCATGAGGCTGGGGATCTTCAAAAAGTTGAAGCTCAAGGGTGGCCAATGGGGAGGATCCATCACCATCAGTTGAGAGAGATGACATCCTGAGCTCTTGGATCGCAGAAAGAAGATGCATCTCAGACTTCTTAAATCCTTTGTTCGCTAGACACAGTTCTACAGGATTCAATACTCCTGCCACACTAATCACATCCATAAGCTCCAACGCCAAACAAAGAATAAGAAATGGTTTTGATTGAATTTTGCTGAAATTAAATGTTAGGAGAAGGTTTCTGTATATTTTGACAAAAGCAACTCAAACGGTGCTTCTATTAAAACCATGTTTTGTTCCTGCTAATAGGATTGAAAACATGCACTTTCAGTTTGAATGTGAAATACTAAAGAGAATACTTTAAAAAGAAGTTTCAAAATAAGGAAAAGGTGAAGAGCATGCCTTCACAATTGAGGAAAGCTTTGTCCCAAGCTAAACTGTTTCTTGAATTGAATTCATTTGCTTTAGTTTTCATTTCTGCTGATCTGTTCTGATTATCCCAAGTAGAATGAAACAACTCCTCTGGTTCTAGAAATCCTGATCAGAGAATGGTCACGTGATTAATGCATGCTTGTGGAAAAATATCAATTTATCATTTCAATTTAATTATATAAATGTGCTTGTGGAAAAATACCAGGATTTGAGAAAAATGCAGCATCCCATGCCAAACTCTTTCTTAAATCAAACTTTGACTCACACTTTGATCCTAAGCATTTCTCATCCTTCTCCCTCATCTCTTCATCCTTCATATCCACCTTCTTTCTCTTTTCCGCACAATCTGCATTCGAATTGAATTCATAACAGTTCAAATTAAATCAATGCTCTATACAGAACCCATCTTATGCATGTCTATGAAGTTAATTATATGAAGATGCGGATTCAAATTCGACACGATGGATGGACACTAAGCATTGACATGTAAGTATATGTAACCACTTTATTAGATGTTTGGATTCATAGACATGTGGGATTGTCAGAAAATCACTGTTTGGTTTCTAAGAGAAAGATATTGAGTGGAAGAAATGAAACATAGAGGGCATTGAGAAAGCAAGAAGGGAAGGTCGTTAATTATATATACAAATCAGAGATCAAGTGCTTGCTATTTTCATCACAAATACTTACCAGAGCATCCAAATTGGGGAACAGCCTTTTGTGATTCCAGAGCCATGGATGGCAAAGCTTGTTGCAGCAACAACAGAGACAGAAAATATTGGAGGCAGAGTAATTTGAAACAAGTCATAAATGCACCTAAATACCCAAATTAAGAGCAATTATTAATTGGTTTCAAACTTTGATTTGCGGCCGCGATTTTGTCCGTTCTATTCTATTACTCATTCCAGCACATTTTTAAAAAGTAGTATAAAAATAATTTTTTATATGTGAAAAATGAAAAATCCATAAAATTTTATCTTTTATTTTGATGATATTTTCCATATATATTAAAAAATTTATTTTTTTTTATGTTAGGGTTTGAATTATGGTACTAAACCAAAAAAGTAGAATAGTCTTAATTTAATTTATAGAGGCTGGTTCACAAGTTGGCTTTATACCTATCTATGATTATTATTGATAGTCCAGCTTTATAATTTTCTTTGCAAAATTATTTAGAATTGTGTCAGTTCAATCAAATAAAATCTTGGTTAAAATATATTTTTGATTCTCTAATTTTATACAAGGTTTTAATTTAACCCTTTAACTATAAAAAATATCTTTTCACTCCTATAACCTTGACACTGTGACCTTCAAATGATTATTTTTTGTATTAGTCATTGTTATTTTAGAAAAATTAAACTTTATCTATCAACATTTTAGAATAATATGTTAATATTTAAAAGTTTAATGTTAAAATTTAATGTGATAAAACTCATGGTGTTAGGATTAAAGAATTAAAAAACACTTTAAAAAATTAAGGGATTAAAATGAAACATTGTGTAAAGATAAAAGATTAAAAGTATGGTTTAACCTAAAATCTTATACTACCTCTGTCCTATATTATAGAACACTTTTGATAGAGATTTGGCACCCTAAAATATAATACACTTTGATCAAAATAAGGTTTTATTTATGATACTCCTACTTTTCTAATATTATTTAATATTCTTTCATTAATGAAGTATTAAATTAAAATTATTTTTAAAAGTTTACATTTTTATTTTGAAAAAATAAAGTTGAAAAATATATTTAATGAGTTTTATTGATATACGTAATTTTGGTTAAAAGTATCTTATCAATTGATGATAGAGAGAGTATGTCGTTATTTTGAGACTTTTTTAAGAATAGAGCACTCCCTCCGTTTTTATATATAAGAGAAAAAAATTGTATCATACAGTTTAAGAAAGTTGATTAACCATAATAATTATGTGTGAAAATAAAAAAAATTAAACTAAAATACCCTATGTTAATCAATATGAGCATCCATAAATTATTTTTTGATAATTAAATTATGAGTGATGATTTAAAAAATATGTAATAAATATTTATTAAAATAAGTAATTTTGCTTTTATAAAAAAATAAATAAAAAATGATAGTTTTTTTATAAATAAAAACGGAGGGGTACCTCTTTAATTTCTTAAATTTTTTCATCTCTATCATAATCAATAATTAATTTGTATTTACAATCACCTAGCATGAAATTTTTTTATTGAGCAAAGTATGAACGGTGTCGTGAATCGGGTCTATGCCAAAAAAAAAAAATTTGGAAGACTATAAGTACAAAGAAAGGTGAAATTGCGAGGCATGATCAATTAAAATGGGGTCGGCTTATATGCACTATTATATATATATATATATATATATTGGCGGTGATTGCATGATTAATTAGTCTTGGTGATAAGCCTTACCCTTGTTCTCCCCTTTTGGGTTTTGTTAAAGAATGGTTCATGTGCTTCACAGTATATACAGTTTGGTTCTTGATGCGTATATAGGCTTGGCGACTCCAACATACACCTTGTCCTGGTAACACCTGCCTCGTCATGTGTTCTGATTAAAGATTATATATACCAATCTCCGACTCTTATCTACTCAAATTATGTAGTCAATCGTATCATTGCACATTGCGTCAAATTGTCTGACCCAAACCTTTCATTTGGTCGTGATTAAATTATTTTTTTGGCCCAACCTTTGGTCTCCTGATTAACTATATACCAATGAACTTAATTTGATGTATTATTAATTTCTACCATGTAATAACAGATTTCATGTCATTTATCAAACCAACCTCACACACACACACACATAGCTGACGACTAGCACTAGCAATAGATTTCTTGCATACAAACCACACCATATTATTTGTGACATCAGTATTAATATTAATATTAATATCACTACCTCGAACACAAACAATACACTTCATTATTATACCCTTCATTGGCTACGGGTTCAGTTTTGGTACTCATCTATAGTGCTCATTACTTGATGAGCATAACAATTAAAATTTATATTTTTTATTTTTATTTTATATTTATTATAAAAAATTATAGAATTTTAATAAATTTATTTTATCATCAATCTAAATAATAGAGATTTAATATAGATAGTCTAGATTGATGATAAAATTGATTTATTAAAATTTTATATTTTTTATTTTAATAAATATGAAATAAAAATAATATATTTAGACCATACGAATTCCTTATGAGGTGATGAGCATCAAAACTGAAGTCACAGCCCTATAAAGCTCCATCCACCAAATGCATCATTTACCCGTAGTTATTTCTTCCCCTCGAACTGGACGACGGAAAACGGTTGCCACGGCCACCACTCCCTCCTCCATAGCCACCCCCGCCGCCACCAGAGCCATCAGAACCGGATCCAGAGCCATAGCCCGCACCGTACCCGGATCCTGAGCCGGACCCATAACCGAAGCCATAGCCGGAGCCCCTGCCGAAACCGGAGGGAGAGCGGCCGGATCCAGAACCGTAGCCCCAGCCGGTGCCGGGAGCGGAGCCCCAGCCCCAGCTGTAGTCCCAGTTGGGAGAGTGGCCGGAACCGGTGGCCCCGGCGGGGGTTGCAGTCTGTGGAGTCATCTGGTACGGGAAAGAAGCGAGCTTTCTGGAGGCGTCGTTGCCGGGGGCAGCAAGAGCGAGAGCGAAAGCGAGGAAGCAAGAGAAGGGGAGGAGGTTGGATAGCATGTTGGGATTTATGAGGGTTGACGTGAGGGGTATGTGGTGCATGACAGCGGTTTATATAGGATAGTGGCTTCGAGCGACTTGTCAAGTTGTCATGTTCTCTTTCGTCTCATCTTTAATTATTTAATTTGTTTAGTTTCTTCGGCCACAACAGTGTAGTTTTTAACTAGTGGGTAGATATTGATTTTCAGTGCTTGCTGGATAGATAAAAGGTGAATACGTGTTGGCCGGTAATTACAACAAATCCGAGAGAAGGGGTTAGGCTCAGCCACGCCTGATTTGCACCACCCCCTCCTATTAATAATTAATGAGAGTGATTATTCGACCACTCTTTCGTCCTTTGGAACCCTTCTGCTATCGCTTAGCTTCCTCCTTCTAATCATCATTCTTCCGCCACTCACCCACCAAAGCCACAACACAACAGCACATACTTTCAAAGTGCTTTTTGTAGTCGTACCAGCTCTTTTTAATTAGTACATACGTCAAACAGATAGACGCAAATAAGTTTTACATACACAAATCTGGATTTCTCACCTATTCTTGCATTCATGGAACTGCAGCCGGCGGTTCAATTCTCTCTTCTTTTAGTGCATGTTTAATAAACCTATCACATTCTAAACTAAGCTCGCCTTGAATTTTATTTTTAAGACGATCTAAATTTCTTACACAACATCTATCACTATACAAGCTTATCTATTTTTGGAGCGTGGGAAGTCGGAGTGAGTGCACACAGAGTTCTGTCGTGTTATATAGTTGGGGCGTGCATATGCATCTGTCAGCTTCATGCGCGTTTCGGCCACCACTCTTTTCCCTCTTCTGTTTTCCCAACTACTACTTTTTATTTTTCCTATTTGACACCATCATGGCTATATGTTTATGTATATAACATATTTATCCGCAACCTATTTCATACAGCCGCAACATGACAAAGCATTGTTAGATATTTTCTCAAGCTAGTTACAATGTTGTTTCCATATATAGTTTCAGTTTAGCCTACTTTGTTCAGCTTTTTCTGTTCAGTTTAAGTTCTACTAGTTTTGCAAACTTCTGGTTCACCCATGAAAAGTTCTCCATTTACCATAGCACGTAGTTATATTCTTCAACTAACCCATCGGGTAACATAATAAAATACCAAATAGAATATTAATTAATTTCATACCAAGTATAGTTAATAGGTGGAGTAAGAGGAATTCAATTCTATGTTATACTTTGTGAATTAAAAAACTTATGTCAAAAGTTAAAACTCAACCACTGATTATGAAAATTGAGCGGTGAATAAAGTTATTATAACTCTGGTTGCTTCTAAACATTTGACTATATTTAATTTATATCTGCTAGTCTAATACTCCTCAATAGCCCATCTTCTAAATCACCACATGACATTTCATTTATATAAAACTATAAATAAAAATGGTTTAAAGTGAATATTAATTTGGACTACTCAATTGCAAGCTTAATGATGAGTTATAATGTGATCATGTGAGCCTAATAGACATATTTTGATAAAAGCATTTGATATGTATATTTCCTCAATGCATAGTTTAATTCATTGTTTGTTCCAAGTCCTAACTAGTCCTTCTTATTACAAGATAATAAAAACAAAATTAAATCAACAGATATATCATCAACAAAGGAATTGTGAAAGGTGCGAAGAAGAAGCTGAAGAACAAGTACTGGCAGCATTTGGCAGCCTTAATGCTGCATCAGTATAACTGCAAAAGTCATCCTGAAGTCCAGGTTGACACCCCGTGAAAAGATTATAATTAATTGTATTATAAGAAACCATGCCTTAACACAACAGCTCTGGAAATCTTGAACACGCTTATTTTATATTGAAATCATAGGCAAAAACAATATCCTTGAAATTTTTTTCCGATGTTTTTCCCTAGACTATTTAACAGAAAATGTCTTAATATATAGACTATAAGATCGAATATTTACTTGCCTAAAATTTAGGGCACACAGGAAGTGGCATCCCAGTCGTTCACATGGAAGCAAGTGAAGTATTGCGGTAAGTTGGGCCCTTAAAAACCCACTCAAAATAGTTAATCCATCTTTTGACTTATGCGTCTGTTCGTGTCCATCACTGTGGGCCATTGCATCCATTTGCAAGATTCTTATGTATTTTGTGGCCCAAACCCATGTGGACAAATGCAGAAGATATTTTCAGACCATTTATTGTACCTTATCATATCGATGAGAAATAAAAATAAAAACATGATTATATATATATAAACAATAACACTCATAAAACAATAGAAGTGTCGAAAAATGAATAATGCTACATGTTAATTCATTTTCACGAAATTCCTTTGATATTGAGTGCATAAATTTTTTACATTTAGAATTGGCAATAAACCCCTTCAACTTTTAATGATTTGCAAATAAATTTGTTATTGTTACTCAGTTCTCTAAACTTATTTATGAATAGTTGTTGGAGCTGTTCTTACTATATATTTTATTATATGCCTAATAATTATAGGCCTTAGCTCATCAAAATAAATCAATAAAATAAAAAGAAAAAGAAAAAGGAAAGCTCGTATCCCCTATACTTTATGCTATACTACATCTTGCTACGAGGTGGACAGCAATGGTGGATAAAGACTAACTAATACTACTGGTTTCAGAAAATTTAACTACTTTAAATTTTGATTTGTCTGTTAGCGTTAGTATTGGTAGTGCAATATAAATGTTGTTCTGGTCTGGCTGTAGTAATAGGAAACAAAAAAAGAAAAACATGATCATGTCACAAACACAAGCAGCAGCAGCAGCAGCAACAACAAGCCTTCATCTCATTAGATAGTTATGTCACAAACACAAGTCAAACAAAAAAAAAAAATTGAAGAGAGAAGTGAAGCATTAAATATGAAAATTCCAAACTTCATATGCGACATGTTAACACAGATATTTAACATGAATTCAATTTTAGATTTCAAACGATTTTTACTTCGTTTATCTTCAAAATGCGTTTATATCCGTGATTAGAAACTCTCTCCCAAAGCGAAAAAGGTAGGCAGAATCTAATATATTTCCGTGGGTTTATACGGCATGTGGGAACTTTGCATATATGAGCTTGTAAGCGTCCCTCTCTTATTTGGAGAAAGCGTGGCGCAAGTCTAGGCAGCAGCCGCCACTCTACACGAAGTCACAAGCCACGGTTTGAATCAAGCCAACGAGCGATGAAGGCATTGGCCGAGAAGCATAAACTGTTCCTGTTATTAAAAACAATAATCTCTCACCTTTTAAGCGTGTGTTTCTTTTCTGGTTCCTTTTTTCCTCCAATTAATCTATCAACTGAACCTTTTAGCAAGTCCAAGAAGATGATCTTTTAATAACTGGCTTCATCTGCTTGTCTTCTTCCAGGGAAACCATGCCCAGGTGGGAGGGGTCCTCCAACATCATCTTCGCCACCAGATAACCTGCTGTAGACCATGTTTGATATTTTCTTGCTTGTTTCCCAACATATCTCCCAAGTTTACCATCATAATACTCAGGCCACCCATCCTTCAGCAAGCGATTCTCAGCTAGCTCAATTGCTCGTCGCGCTATTTGTGGCCGCCCCGTTTTGATGCAAGCAGCCGTTAGAACCCACAACAGCACTGCATTCGAGACCAAACGAAAAGCTCAAAAGGACAGCCATAAAAACAAGGTGCTTATATTGCAAAACATGTTGAGAGAACTGGTGCCTCTGATTCACACGTTTTAGACTATTATCCCATGAAAGCGCGGAAAAAAAAAAATTGACTAAATATAAGCAAAACGTGGTAGCACCTTCTGTAATTGCCAGATAACTAATATTCAAACACAGTGCATTAGCACATTCCCCTTAAGTGCTATTATTGTCCTACTTCGTTTAAAAAAATTGCTGACATGGCGTCATTAGGTCGATGTATTTTAAATACATTATTAGATAGTACACACACAGTTAGACATAGAAATGAGATATATTTGTATGTTTATGGAAGATGACTAATGGCCCCATGATTGTACAAACATAAAAAAAGAAACATCATTGTAAGTAGAGGAACCTGAATGTCCAGCTATCAGTCTACTTCAGAGAATGATAGTAGGGAACATGTTTACCTTGTCAGACTTACTTAGATACTAGTACAAGATTTACACAAGTATTTAAAAAAAAAAATAACGCATGTCTATTGGATTGTACTGAGAAGCTCTTCTTACAGAGGCAAAGTAATGCATGCACCAAGAATTAGACTTAGGCAAAAGTTTTTCACGTACTCAGATACTGGATCATAAGAATTAGACATTTTTTAAGATACTCGATCTTAAGGTGTTAAACTCTTAAGAAATCCACTTTCCATATATTTAACTTAATAACGCACGCCTAAAAACTAGATCATTTGGCATTTTCTAAATGTTATTTACTAGGGCAAGTACCTTTCTTAAACAAAGGAATTTACTTATTGGCATTTTCTAAATGTTATTTACTAGGGCAAGTACCTTTCTTAAACAAAGGAATTTACTTATGTGTAAAATATCAATAAAAAATGAGTAATTAAAAGTTGGTGGCAAAAGATATATTTCAATCAAATTTTAATTAACCACTGCCCCCATCCAAGAATGTTTAAAACATCATCCTAGAAAGCAAATCAGGCCATCCATATAAAAACACAACAGATAAGCAAGACTTACACTTATGTGGTCAACTCCAAAAGTATATTGCGCAAGTCTCAATCATTACTATAGATCTAGTGATTTCAGCATGATCGCCTATGACAAACTAGTTTTTTTGGCCAAAAGTTAGATATTATTCGCTACTGAAGATATAAAAACTTTTGAAAAAATTATTGACCGCTCTAGTTCAATGCATTTTGCATAACTAACCATGAGAAGAGAAGGGAAGCACCTGGCCAAGATCCTCCATTATGATAACTCCATCTGGTATTTTTGGGATCACAACCAGTAATAATTCGCCACTCGTGGCTCTCTATTGCAGGATAACAGACTTTTAGGGGCATTTCCCCAACCAATTCATCCCATTTTGCTTCAATAAGATCCATTATGGCCATTGATTGCTCTGGAGT